TCTTGGGCTTTGAAGCACGCTTGGCACGGCTTAAAAGAAGCGGGGGGGGGGGGGGGGGGGGGGGATGGGTGTCAACAAGTTTCTTGGGCTTTGAAGCGCGCTCTGCACGGCTTGAAAAAAAAAGAAAGCGGGGGGGTTGGGGCAGCCCCCCCCCCGTTCGCAAACACAACGCTCACACGATGTTTTTTTTCCTCCAACTAGTTCTTGGGCTTTGAAGCACGCTTGGCACGGCTTAAAAGAAGCGGGGGGGTTGAGGAGCGCAGCCCCCCCATTTGCAAACACAATGCTCACACGATGATTTTCAACTAGTTTCTTGGGCTTTTGAAGCATGCTTATGGCTGAAAAGAAGCGGGGGGGTTTGGGGGGGGGGGGGGGCTGCGCCCCCACCCATTTGCAAACACCCTGCTCACATGACGGGCGTCAACAAGTTTCTTGGGCTTTGAAGCGCGCTCTGCACGGCTTATAAAAAAAAAAGCGGGGGGGTTGGGCCATTTGCAAACACAACGCTCACACGATGATTTTCAACTAGTTTCTGGGGCTTTGAAGCACGCTTGGCACGGCTCAAAAGAAGCGAGGGGGGCTCAGCCCCCCCCCCCCACTTGCAAACATGATGCTCACACGATGTTTTTTGTTTTTTTTCCTCAACTAGTTTCTTGGGTTTTGAAGCACGCTCTGCACGGGGAGAAAAAAAAAGGCGGCGGGATTGGGGGGGGGGGGGGGGCGCACCCCCCGCCTTGCAAACACAATGCTCACACGATGTTTGTTCTTCTCAACTAGTTTCTTGGGCTTTGAAGCACGCTTGGCACGGGCTGAAAAGAAGCGGGGGGGGGGGGGGGGGGTTTGGGGGTGGGGCAGCCCCACTTGCAAACACCTGCTCACATGATGGGTGTCAACAAGTTTTCTTGGGCTTTGAAGCACGCTCTGCACGGCTTGAAAAAAAAACAGCGGGCGGGGGATCCTAGCCGTGTTACGCACAAGTCGCAAGAGGCCAGGAATCTCTGGCAGCACTCACGCAATCTCTCCTTTTTTCACTGTGTGGATCTCAAGCTCCCGAGGGCATTGCCGCCCGGCCTTCAACATCCAGCTGAGGTCGCTGAACAATCATCCCCGGGTGGGAGGGTGGGAACAAAGCAACTGCAGGGACCCTGCAAGAACCGCGGTAACCCGCTTTCCGGCGAGCAATGACACTCGCGCCACACACTAGCATGAACTGCTATAAACGCTGTGTCCAAGTCAAGCGCAGAGTAGGGACGCTCAACACTCACGGATCCCACTTCATACCCTAACGTGCACCCCGCGTCCCCCCCCAGCTCTCTTGGGCTTTGCACTTCCTTGCTTCCTTCCTTTCTTCCTTTCTTGCTTTCTTCCTTTCTTCCTTTCTTCCTTCCTTCCTTCCTTGTTTTCTTCCTTTCTTTCTTCCTTCCTTCCTTTCTTTCTTTTTTTCCTTCTTTCCATCTAAAACCTACAAGACATAACGCTTTCCTATGAAAATACAGAGGGAAGTACGGTTTTTCGTACGAAAAACCACGAAAATGCATCAAACCCTTTAAAAAATATAGAGGGAGCGGTGGTTTTCTTAGGAGAAAAAAAAAAGAAAATCGACCCCAAAAAAAAAGACCCAAACCCAAAAAAAAATAGGCCCTCCCTTCTTAACCCTTTTGAGCTGCAAAGAGGCTTCGAGAACAGCAAGCTGTTGTTCAAGTCAGCCAGCCCCTCGCTTCGCTACGCACAAGCCAGCATCTCTTCTCAGGCACACGCAAGTACTTGTCGTAGTTGGACTGATCAAAGCTCAAAGCCTCATACGCAGCATCGAAAGCCTGAAACAAAATACACTTTAAGCGCTACCGCCACACTATTCATTGAAGCCTTTCCTTCTGCAAATGTGGCTTCTGCGCAGCCGAGACCGTCACGTTGTCAAAGACGCGCGCCGTCTTCTCACTTGGACTGAAGGCAGCGGCGGCAGTGAAGTAAAAAAGAACACACATCCTCGCTGCACACAGCATGGCAGCCAATCGAAGCGGCACAGCAAGCAACTGCCGCTCTTGATTCGCAGCCTATCTGAGCTGCTGCCTTGCTTTGTTTGGGAACCTCTCAATCTAGCGCAACAACAACCTACAAAACAAACTCACCGCGCGATATCGTTTTTGCTGGGACTGTGCTGCAAGAGGGGGACGGCAGTCCACTTCCGCGGGCGGGAACTTCAAAGACGATATCAGCACACTCTGACAGCGACCAACACTTCAGTCACCGCTACCGCAACACTGTCAACAATGCATACAAGACATGTGACACTAGATAGAGAGGGTTTGTGTCACAGTCTAGGGCCAGTGACAAAATGCACGTGGGTTGGAGCGCTGGAGCGCTGTCACTATGTCTTGCGATAAGACATAGTCCTTTTTGCAGCACCTCGTTTGCAAAGCACTGACACTCTTCCTATTCTGCCGCAAAATCTGCCGACCAAGCTCTTTCACAAGATTCTCCCAAAGCAAGCAACGCAACGGAGGCTGGCAAGTTGGGCTTTGATCGGCCTGGGTTGGGATTTTGCGCAGAGCTACTATCTGTTCCGATGAAACACCGAGACGCTAAAAGCGCACTCAACAGGCCAAGCATGCAGTCGTTTACGCGCAGCCGGTTAGTGGCACGCGCTGGCCATTAGCCCACCTACCCCAGCGCGACCCGGCCCTAGCCTGCCCGAAGCACCAAACGGTAGCAAGCACAGCAGCAGCTGGCCATGGACCACTGTCCTTGGACAGATGAATCACCCCACGCGCAAGGGGCGCGGGTGGGCTTTTGAAGTGAAGCTGCACAGCTGTTGGAATGACAGCAGCAACACAACGCTGATCAAGTCTCAACGCCTCAAGCATCATCAACCCAACGCACAACACACAATGTGTACGCGCGGGCGCAAGCGTTAGTAGGTTGCACGGGGCACGCAAGCTTTCCACTTCGCAACCAAGGTGTGTAGATCAAGTCGGCTCTGCAGAAGATCCAGGAAACCTGCACCCATGTGTTCGGCCAGCGCAAGTGCCTTGGCCTCACACTTTAAGTTATAGATTTCGGGGTCGCTCGCGATCACTTCAAACAAGCGCAATGCATCAAACGCAACAAGCACGCAACTGACGCTACACCGTGCTTACACACACTCGGACAGAAGCCTTCGTTTTGTCGGACGTGTCCATGTCTCGGGGATAGGATCTCTCTGAAACTGCCAGGGAGGCTCTTCGAGTCTTCCATGTCCCAGCTTGCGCGCCCCGTGCGTGCTACTAACACTTGCGCCCGCGCGTACACATTGTGTTGGGTTGATGATGCTTGATGCGTTGAGACATGTTGAGACTTGTTCAGCATTGTGGTGTTGCTGCTGTCATTCCGGGTCACTCACGCCTACCCGCGTGTAACACTATCACTAGCATTGTGGAGCACGAATTCCTTGTCCAGCATGCGTGCTCAGCCTTGACTCCGTCAGGTTCTGTTGTATCCAGGCATCATCGTCTGGATTTCCGATTTCCCTTCCGCCCGCCCCAGGGTGGAGAAGCAGCTGCGGAAGGTGGCCGCCGACGCCGGAGGTGGCCGCCGATGGGGCGGCCCTGTGAGAACACGTGTGCCCATCGGCACTGGATTGGAAGAGCAAGGAGCTCGAGGGAGCTCCAACATGTGCTTCATGAATTTGCTGCCAAGAAAAGAAGAGTCTGCCCTTCAGTGTGACTTTGTGTGTGATCCTTTCAGTGCCTCCGCATCTGCTAGTGATAGCAGTTGGGCAGCTTCGCTTCGAAAGCCCCCGCCCACCCCTTGAGTATGGGGCGATTTATCTGTCCAAGGACAGTGCTTCGAGGGTGTGTGGCCCCCCCCATGGCCAGCTCCTGCTGTGCCTGGGGGGTGGTACTTGTGCGCGGTCCATTGCAAAAAAAGTGTGGCTTCAGTGTATGCGTGTAGACAGTGTTGTTGCGTTCCTTTTCGAAGTGGCTGAAGAAGCTTGGGTGAGGGAGTCCTACGGGACGACAAGTCCACTTTCCTTCCCTTGTCCGCACAGACACCCCGTAAGCTTGCGCGTGCGCGCCACACAAAATATGCACATGCGCAGTGTTCCACAGCTGGGTATGTAACTTTCAGGTTGTTGGAAGCGGCTCTCAGGCGGTCTTTTTGGAAATGGGTTTTTTCAGTCAACTGCACTTGCGCCGCCGGTAGTGAATCACTGCGCCAACGGGATTCGAGAACTTCGGGCCCCCCGCAACTTGCGGACTATATTTTTCAGTATAGCAAATCACTGCGCCAGCGCAAGACAACAAATGTGGGACACAATGGAGACTTTGATCTCACTCATGGGCCGGTAGCACTAACAGCAGACGCAGTTGCAAAAAGCAGGCCAGGAAGCTCAGTGAGCCAAAGCTGACAGCCTGCATCATGTGGAAATGAAGCGCATCCTGTCCTCAAGCATTTCGGAAGGCTTTGCGCCTCGCTGTGAAACTCGCCCTCAAGCGCTCCAGTCGGTCCTGGTAGCGAATCATTGTGAAGTGATGTCACGCGTCAAACCTCGGTCATTCAGCCACAACCTTCAATCCTTGGTATGTCGCTGTTGCTTTCATGCCGGCCACATCTACCCGACACACACAGACACAACACACAGCCTCCTGACATGAACTGCACTGACGTCTATCCATCCTTCACTCTCCATCACATTCACTGATGCTTGGGCTGGCGATCTCATCAATTGCTGACAAACAGTACACGATCCGAGCAACTCGCAACACAAGAACTTTATCAGCAGCATGGACAGACCGAGAGGAACAATGAGTTGCGTATCTTGAAGCCATCGACTGGCATCACTTTCGACGCCAGGAACCCAGCTTTCTTCGGAGGGCTGTACAAGTGCGCCAGTGTCTCCTCGTCTTTTCTGAGACGCTCGGATGTTCCAAGGACGAGCTTGCGATACGCATCGAGCTTTGCATGGACTTGAGAAATTGCACCTTCCTGAAGGGACAACGCACTATGAACACCGAAAGCTACTAGTTATACTGGGAATACCCATATGCCTCTTCTGCCAGCTGCTCATTCGCAAGCTTCACGGTGAGCTCATTTTCATTAGGCTGACAAAACCACGCAGACAAACGAATTGCTGGCGGCGTTCCATGAACACCCTATAGTAAATGAATACATCAAGCACAACGGAACCTCTGGGACATGAATGTCTACAGCAGGATACTGCGCCGGGACTTGGTCACCCACAATGCCTGGCATCACTTGACAAGATACGCACTCGTCTCGCTGACGGCTTGCGATCAGCCACACCAAAAGGCAGCAGCGCTGCACTTGGCAAAGCTCCGAAACAAGCAGCACAAATGAGCAAGCGCATATTCAAGACTCGAGACACCTGACAGCGCAACAGCCCCGATGCCTGGGATCGCGCAGCACTTGCGCCTCGACAATTCTCGGCCCTCAACCTTCCTTAGTCTACCCTGTCGGCCACCAGGAAAAAGCGGATTCACATGGTAGTTCCACGCGGATCGGGTCCTCACACGTTCTTACGCAGCCACTAGAGATCTTCAAGCACTCAAACAAACAAGGAGAGAAGAAAGCCTGCACAAGCCTGCACGCAACTCGACCCTCTCTCTTTTTTTCGCAGGAAGCGAGCATACTATCAGGTTGGAACAAAACACGGCGCAGCCACGTGCTACAGTCTCGTTAGCAAGACCGCACCTGCCGTCCGGCCTGTGCCAGCTAACTTTTAAGCAGAAAAAGGGCGCACCGCAAACTTTTATTCCCCCTGGGCGTGGAGGGCGGGGCAAAACGATACAAAACTACACGTTCTGTCCAAGTGCTGTACCGTGCCACTTCGGACACCCGGCTCGAGCACACATACAGCTGCTAAAGTGTTGCAATTCACAACAACGCGTTGCGTGGTCGCAACACGCAGTCACTCTATTGACAAGGCAACCCAACCAACTAACAACAAACGCGCGTTAGCACACGCACACAAACGCCAGTCCTGCTGCCCGCAGGGACCTATCTCACCGTGCTAGATCCCACTTTGCTGCACGCGCGCGTGCACCCCGCGGGACTGGAACGCAGCAAACGCTCTTCTTTGGCATTGGTGAATCGAGACGAGATTCAGCTGACGCAGGCCAGGCCCACACAAGGGCACAACAGAAACAACACACACACCCAGAAACACTGTGCAGGCTGCCTTTCGACAGGCTGCATGTACATGTGAGAGTCGGGTGTACTGCCAAACCCAGCCCAAGCCGGCACACCCGTCACTTCCAGCGGACCCACTAGGTTTCTGTGAAAACAAGAAAACAAAGCGAAACAAAACCTAGCGGGGAACCTAGCGGAGAGTGGACCAGAAACCAAACTGAAGCACGTCTTTTGTCTCTAGAGTTGTATTCACACAAAAGTCCCACCCGCCAGCCCTCATCTAGTTTCTCTGTAAGTGGAAGGCCCGCCACCCTCCGTCCCCGAACTGCCGTGAAACGCTGCACACACTCCCTAGGCATCAAGCACGGATTCTTTTGTCCGGGATGCGCACAACATGTCTCGATCTTCCTTGACCTAGCAAGGAACCAGAAACTTCCAGGTGGCGAACCTCTACACCAAACCTACTCTCCGGAACCCCGTATGCACAACACAAGGGAGGGGCGCGCCAACCTTTTGCAGGAAATGCCGGGCAACAGTCAAGGGATCCTACCGTGCAGCAAAGAAAACGAAGCCCACAAAACCAACCAAGCCCCCGGGACCAAATCCGGCAAACCGAAGAGGCACCCTTGCAGAGGACTCCCGCTCTTTTCCATCGGTGGATCGCACAGAGCTCAGGAACTCTGAAGCAAGATGACATCAGCTCCGATGCTGATAAATCGACACAGCTGCTGCTGCAAACCCGTCCGAAGGCACTGCAGTCACTCGAGCAAGACCACTCGACCCCACACAGTGACACACTCGGACAACTGTCGCACGTACACATGTTAAGCAACATGCAACTGCAGCAACGCAATGCCTACAATGCGCCAGCAAAGCCTACCCTGCACACAACGCACTCCCGGATCCCACTTCGTGCCCAGCAAGTGTTCACCCCGCGAGCCAACTGGCCCATCTAAGCCCCGGCCCCACTACCCAGCTGCTCAGCAACCAGGGTGGGTGGGCGGGAAAACGCAAGGCAAACTCTGCAGACAAGACTGCAGTGTGACCAAACCGACAGTGCACAGGCTCAGCTGTTCAACTCAACTCGAGCACGCACACATACAATGTACACTGTATGGAGGAGTAGGTGTGGAGAGAGGGCCGGTGTTCTGCCAAACCCAACCGAACCGGGAACACCAACACGGGGATGGCGGGGAAATAATCTCAAGCACGGGAGGCTGCCTATCTATAATAGCTTCCCCTTCAGCCCGCACTTCGGCCGGCTAGAGGGAGGACAGCTCTTGGACAAGACAAGCTGCAATTCACAGCACTAAACGACAAAACATGAGACGCTTCAAGCGCACCGCTTCGCTACGCGCAACCCAGCGTGACACCCTGCGCATCATTTTCCTGGGATGCGCAAATCGAGCAGTTCAGCTGACTTCAGCCATCCTAGCATGGAACTACCAAATTCCCTGGAGGTGCATGGGGCGGCGGTGGGCAAGTCTAAAGCGCAACCTAGCAAGAACAGACCTCTACCCTTTGCAGACCCTTCGAGCTGCAAAGGCTTCAACACTGCAAACTGTGTTCAAGGCAACAACGAGACGCTTACCGTGCTTCGCTTCGCTACGCACTAACCAGCGTCTCTCAAGTTACACTGTCACAGAAGGCCCACCCACCTACCCTTCACACGCCGTGAAACCCTTTCCCTTGCAAAATGGCAGGCGCATCCTTTTTGCTGTGGGATGCGCAGCCGAGTCCGTCCAGCCTACCCCAAGCCTGAAAGAAACCAACTTCCCGGAGGCGAGTGGGCTCAATCGAAAGAAACCTGCCAGCTACCTACTGCTGCAAGCTGTACCCCTGCCTCGAGCAGCAGAACTAACAACAAGCAATACGACCATATTAAACACGCGTCGCTTCGCTCCGCGCGCTACTATCTATTCCAATAAAACACCTAGACGCTAAAAGCGCAAACGCTTCGCTAAGCACAACCCGCCACTCTTCGCTTTCGGCGGCAGCCGCAACCCAGGGCGGGCGGGCAGGTGCAAACTGACGAAGCGAGTCAGGAACAATCACAAGACAGTTTCACGCAGCTCAAGCAATGGCTGCAGACTCAACAGGCCAAGCATGCAGTATCATGCAGTCGTTTACGTGCAGCCGAGGGTTAGTGGCACGCGCTGGCCATTCGCCCACCTACCCCAGCGCGAACCGACCGGGCATCCAGGTCCAAAATCCTGCGCAGGATTCGGCAGGGGCTGAAGATCCACCTCATCATCTCGGCTATCCAGTTTTTCTGCGCAGCTCACGTCATCGTTCTCACTCTCCGTCTCAGTGCCCTCCTTTTGACCGCTAATCAAGTGATGTCGCGGCTGGCGCCTCAGTAATTGTAGATCCGGCGCACGGAGCACAACCATTCGCCGATTACGACCGCAAGAAAATTCTTCCTTAATCGAAGAGGCCTCTGCGAGTGAACATGAATCAGTGGCAACTAGCTCACGCGAACTTGCTACCTGCCTGTCTGACTTGAGCAGTACAACGCACGGCACACAAGCCACTTCGGCCCGTCCACACAGGTGGACTCACAATGCGGCTCATGCGAAGGAGTTATCATTCTGCTACGCGTCATGACGACACTGAGATCTTGCCTGTACTGAGACTTATTCTTACTCACCCTCTCACCTGCACAGTTAAGCTAAAGACACACGAAGCGCACTGCAAACCTTCGTTTTGCAACGGGGGAGCATCTCAGGCGATCCTTGCATTGTCAGGCCATTGCCCTGGCCTAGGGTATGGCACACGGAGAACACATGCAAGATCATTTGAGCGACACAAGGGGACATGTCAGTCGGACAGGGAGTCATTATTGCAAGAACATGAAATACACAGCAACGCAGGAGCACTTTTCTTCGCGAATGGGAATACCAAGTGTCAACGCGCAGGGGAATACCAAGTGTCAACGCGCAGCATAACATATGCTGAACCCGACACACACAGGGATCCTAGCCGTGTTACGCACAAGTCGCAAGAGGCCAGGAATCTCTGGCAGCACTCACGCAATCTCTCCTTTTTTCACTGTGTGGATCTCAAGCTCCCGAGGGCATTGCCGCCCGGCCCTCAACATCCAGCTGAGGTCGCTGAACAATCATCCCCGGGTGGGAGGGTGGGAACAAAACAACTGCAAGGACCCTGCAAGAACCGCGGTAACCCGCTTTCCGGCGAGCAATGACACTCGCGCCACACACTAGCATGAACTGCTGTAAACGCTGTGTCCAAGTCAAGCGCAGAGTAGGGACGCTCAACACGCACGGATCCCACTTCATGCCCTAACGTGCACCCCGCTGGCATACACTTATGCCAAACTCGCAAACCGCACATCAAAGCACGGGCGAACGCAACCCTCCCGCGTGTCGAGAGGGCGGGCCGGGCGGGACACGCGAGAACGCAAGCCACTTGCAACACTGCACTGCTTCTCGAAAGTTGCAGACGAGCAGCAACACAAGCAGATGGCAAATGGCTTCAACGAGCACATGACATGAGCATCACGCGCACGCAACCCTGCCCGCAAGACCTGCGCCAACGAACACACCCCTGCAGACAGACAAGTCCCCCTACGACGGACGCGGTCCACTCCACATCGACAGTTGCGAACTGCGCGATGTTCAGGGCGGGGCAAAAGTAGGGTAGGCAAGCACAATCGAAAGCGCCGCAAGCTGGCGACGCTTTAGTAGCCAAGCAAGCTAAGTCTATGGGGCGGCCACCCACCCGCCTCAGCCGACGCTGCAAAACAAGACGGTGAGAAAAATACAAGTACATGGCGCAGAACGCAGGCAAGCAGGACGGTTGCTTTCAACACCACGTCACAACGCGGCTACCTCGCGCCCTTGAGAAGCGGAGCTAGAATAAAGCGTTATCAACAAGTAGACTACAGCAAACCTTCAAGCCCACCCTGCCCGCCGGGACTCTTTTACCTGTTTTGCAGAAAGGTGGACGAACGTCTAGATCACAAACCAGTACGACAACCGAGGGAGGCGCACGCGTCCCCCTCGACAACCGGGCACACTAGCCAGGTCAAGTCGCACTAGAACCCCCCGCCCCCCCTATAGCCCGATTTTCGAGGTTGTGGAGGGTGGGAAAGTCGAAATGGGCTGCGGTCGCACTACAGTACGACACCAGACTAGCCCAACCACGACTTGGAACAAATCTCACACCCCCACGACACACTGGCCCCTGAGAGCACGGTTGCTGCAGCATGACACTCGGCGTCAACGCAGGAAGCACCACAGCTGTCAACCACGACCCTGCACGTGCGGTCAACGCCTCACCACGCGTTGCACACTTTGAAGGCTCAACTTGCAAGCACCCCTGCAGTGGCACATGCAGCGCAGTCACTCGACGCAAGCGCTCTCCAAGCGAGACAGCGTCGCAGCTGTGTCAGCTGTCAGCACTCAGGCTTTGCAGAACACTGAGCGTCTCTGCCATCTCGGCAGCTTGCTGCGCGTACGCCTGCACAACATTGGCACGCAGCAAGGCAATTCTTCTTTCCTTCGCAACTATCCCCCACACCCCTGGCTGATTCTTTGAGTTGCGCGACAACCCAAATTCGCTATGTCTGCACTGACAGGTTGACTGACGACAGCGCGCACGCGTGTGTCAGTGTTCGCAGCATGCACTTGTTGATTGGCTGCGCTTGCAAGCATACATGAAAGACTGGCAGCTACACTAAGTCACTACACTGCTGCTGCCTGCTACGCCCTGAGCCCTATCGCGTAACGCAAAGCTGAAGCAGCTGAAGCAAACATGCCACACAACCAACTATGAGCTTGGGGATGCTTGGAGGCGAGCGTTTGTCAGCTTGTTGCTTGCCGCGCAAGGTCGATGACCTCTTGGGGCACACAGCACCTTGGCGCTCCGGGCTGTCGGAGGGGTTGGACTCAGACGCGCTTTGCTGCGACCAGCTGGAGGACATCTGCAGACATTGCAAGCACGGCATCAAGCTCCGCGCCGCCAGGGCCAAAGCTGGCACCCACCTTGGCCGGCAAGGACTCAGCATCCACACGCCTCAACGACGATCGTGACTGGAGGAAGGCTGGCCAGCTCTGCTTGACAGCCAAGCTGGTCCTCGGCTTGCAAGAGTCCAATCTTGGAACGAGACGTTGGAGCGCAGCAACAAGCGCACGCTGCCTTTGCACGCTGGCGCGCAGCAGCGCGCCCACCTCTTGCACTGCAACCACGGCGGCAGGGTCATGGTCTGGAACTGCCACTTGAAAGAACTTGTCACCACCACTCAACGCGGCGTCTTCGCAATCGGCTACTGCCACCTGTGCTCCCGTCACTACGAGGCACGTGTTTCCCTGCTTGACTTGCCCATCTTGGGTGACGACCCACGACCCTTGGCCTTCTTGGCATTCAGTCAAGGACAATTTGCCAGCCACAACACCTAGGCAGCCCCCGCCCAGCACCTGCAGCTTGCCTCCTGCACCTGCAAAGATCTCTGCACCCGTGCCGCCCACAACCGCATCTACGCAAGACTTTGCTGCCACACCGCTGCCTGACGCGACCACACATTGCTCCTGAGCTGCTGGGACACCGCTGACCAGCATGAAGGCAGATGGCTTTGCGATCGCCACTGCATTGGACAAGCCAAAATATCCCCAAGGTTTGGCACCACGCATCAAAACTTTCACAGCCTTCGCAGCCACTGGCTCGGGGAACAAGATTGTGTCCTCGAAGCTGGGCTCTGGCCTCGAAAGCTTCCGCCAACCGACACTCTCCTCGAAGTTACCACCATCCGAGCTGGTGAGCACTTTGACTTCTCCGGGAGCGTAGCTCCATCGCAACGTCACACCAAGGAGCTGCCTCCGCGCCTTGAACACGCCAGTCCAAGACACGCTCTGCCCAGGTTCATGGTCCCCAGCGCTGCACCAATATCCGGAGGACTCGCTCGTCGCCAGGCCTGCACCGAATGTCTTCGAGGAATAGACGCTGGACGCTGTAGCCGTGTCGAACGGCGCAAGCTGCTGGGCAGCAGCTTGCAGCACAAGCACCAAGACACAACAACCTCTCATCATAATGACAGCGGACTGGCTCGCTCTCCTTTTCTTTGCGAGTTCTGAGATAGTATCGTTCCAGCAGTCCCTAACGGGCCCTAACGCAATCTGCTGATACTTTGCTCTCCTCGCCGAAGCAGTACACAACGTGCAGCAGCGGCAGTTCGCTGCAGGACGCCCGAGAGGGGTTGACGCTATAGGCCGCTAGGCAGGTCTCACTGACTCGGTGTGCACTTCGCCGCGTTGGCAAAGCAAAAGCTTGCACAAACCCAGTTGCAGAGCCACACGTGCGCACGCACGCACGCACGCAAGCACGCACGCACACGCACACGCACACGCACGCGCGCGCGCCCACGCCCACGCCCACGCCCACGCCCACGCCCACGCCCACGCCCACGCGCACGCGCACGCGGACGCACACGAACGCGCACGCACACGCTTACGCGCACGCGCACGCATCCGACGCCGCACCCGCACCCGCACCCGCACCCGTACCCACGCACGCACGCTTGCACGCACGCACGCGAGCTCGTTCGACTCTCGACACTCTGCGCACGCGAGACGGGATCCTGTTACGCTCATGCCAGGACACTCTGAAGCGACTGAGAGCT